AGATGTTTACTTGAATCTTATACAAATTCACTGTTAAATTGGGCAATTTACGAGTGTACACGGTGGTTGCGCCCGCGCACGCGTTCTCCATGTTATAACAGTTATAATGATTACGTGACATATGAATATTGTCACGCGTAATAATTGTTGCTCTTTACGTTTTACGCTGTAACTCGCAATTGGCATGTCCCGTTTATGTGTAACGGGCCTACGAAGATAACTTACGGTGTTCATCTCGTCAGGTAAGATTTTACTAACAGCAAAATTACAGTAGTCTTACAGCCTTATTAATTAAAATCAATTTTCATTAATTTAAAACATTTTATCATTAAAACGTCTTTTAGCAACAAGTATCCAAACAGTTTTAGACACTCCAATATTTATAATAATATTATGATATTAGAATTTGGAGGAAATCTTTACGTCTGGTATGGGATAAGCAGATAGAATTTCTTACTGCATTCATTTTCATTACTCGTTTCATATTTGTAAGCAAGTTTTAGAGTTCGCATTACTCTTGTTTTTTTCTTGGATATGATAACTTGACCGATAATGGATTCTTAATATGATATTTAACATTCTGTGAACTTGAGCCATAAAAGATACCATTTTCATTAAAACTAATTTTTTATGGTATAAAAAAAACCATGGTATTAAAAATCTTTGAACAGGATTCGTTAACATAAATCTAATGGACTGTAATTGCGTGGAACGTATTACTAAGCACTGAAGGATTTTATGATTCACATTCTTATTACAACGTGCAACCAATAGAACGCATCGAGACAAATTAAACCAACTTAAAGCTACAGGATTATTTGATTAGAACAAGTATTGATCATCGTAATGACTATAGTATCTATATTACCATCTATAGTACCACCTTATGATATTGTTTGTCATCAAAATTTCGTGGTGTAAAGCTTCAGATAGTTATGATTTAATAAGGAAGTAGATGCATAATTAATTAAAAATAGTTTAATATGCTTATATTTTATTTATATCTACATATTTAAAATGAATTGTTTTGTGTATATAAACAGCAATCAACCCGCCTGCCGAGTGTGATAATTATTAGCAAAACCCTCAAGTGGAAGGCAACAGTGGACAGTTAACGGCTGATATGATGACGATAATATAAACAGTAAAGAAAATTGTGTATTACATATATTTTTTTTAAGTATTTATATTTGTATATCTATTTTAACAAATATTCCCAAAATTCAATCCCGATAATTGTGCTCCTTATTCTTAATTTACAACATTTTGAGTGTTCATGGTTTTTTATTTTATTCGATTGGATAGTTATCTAGGTGTGAATTTATTGTCTCACACTTGACAATAGCAGCATAAGAAACAAAGGGCTATAAGATTAACCAAAATCGGAGCAAAGGTTCCGCTGGCAGCATATCTCGGGTAAGGCATCGCTAAAATGGAGTTAAAGCGAAGTAACTGTTTCACACTCGCCATGTTTTAGCATATCAAGCCATGCAATGAAATGCTTGGAAATGTCAGCGAATGCTAATACAGTGGCGTGTGATGTCAGCTCATTTTACTTTAAAATCATTAGATTGTTTTATAATTCCACACCGGGAATTCACATTGTTTTGATTGTTAAAACTTAAATGTTTCTTGTGTTACTGATTTCTGTAAAGAAGAAGAAAGTGGTAGATTAGACAATGCCTTCCTAAAATATCTATGGATTTATTGAGAGTTTTAGTTCATGAATTTGTACTTATTATTATTTTTCTTTCTAATTTACTATAACTAAATGCACTTGTCTGTATCTCATTAAGTAATCGTATGTATACATATATATACGTATATGTAATATAGTTTAATGAGATATATGTAATATCATTATAATATTTATATCACCAATTATTTTTTTAAATTTTAGAATATATGAATTATGTATATAATAATAACTATGGGCGACATTATTTTCACAGTACTATTCTTGTCTATAGGCGACAATTATCACTTTCCATCATGGGGTCGTTGGCTTGTTAATCATTCTAAGTTGCCTAAAACAGATTTGAAATTTAGGTATAGATTATACCTAAATGATAAAAAAAAATTGGAAGGCCTAAAATATCTTTAAATTGTCGTCACCACAAGACCGCTGCATCTTGTGGTTTGTTAAAAAACCAGTACCGTAAAAATCCCCTCTTCCGGTGGATTTTAAAACTCACGATGTATAATAGATTACGATTGCTCTTCTCATCTCAAAACGGTATCTCTGTATACTCGTACTCGTGAGAATGCACTGTGAAACAGTTCATTTACATTTTAGGGAAATGGAACGGTTTAATAAATAATATTAACTCTGCAAAAAGATTTTGGACAATTTACGTTTAAAGAGCTGTAATGGATCGACCGGATTTAAAAGTATGTTATTTTTAAAGCTATGGTGACTTTTGAGAAAGCAACCTGATTTTGTAATATAGCGGTATTGAACTACACGACTTTCCGTTTTTTATTGCTACAATTACAGATATAAAATACAGTCTTTGTAAGAAGTCATACTTCATTTAAATACCAGCGGAGCCAGGGTAAGAATTGATTGAAAGGAAACTTTTTGATACATTCAATATTTACGTTTCATTTGTTGATGTATCGTAAAGAGAATTAAATACCAACACGATATATACAAAACCGCGTACTTTCACGTTTACAAATGATCATTCATTCCATTTGATAAAAAGATTCGAGTGAAAGCGATATCGCAATGCAAAAAAGTAAATGAAAATTCGTGTCACTGACTTTCCTATTAGCTATCGTGGTTTGCGATGCGCTAGTGTTGACCTGCATTCGACACTCAAATTGCAATCCATGAAGTTGAGATGGGATTATATACTTGGTAATTGTATGTCGCCAGAGTAACATTGTTATTATTTAAATGAATGAATGAATGAGTATACTTTATTTGCATTATACAATATAGGAAATAAGCAAGGCAATTTACAAACACAACGATACAATTGTATAAGTACAGTAAGGCGTTATTCGTTATGTATATACATCAATTGTCTAAGACATTAAAGTCAAGGGTCTATGCTATCAAGTTTATTGTTATTATTATTTCGCAATCAATTTTGGTTTTTATTTCCGTGATTGAGTTTGTTATAGTCAATAAATTAGTACTTACTAATGTTATTAAAACATAAAGTATTTTATAACTTGGAGTACACAACAGTTTTTAAAAGTTTGAGCGGAGAATTGAGAGCATGTAGTTGCATTGCAGTAAAAGTAGTAGTTGTATTTATTTATACTTGCATGCATCGACTAAATTAATCTAAAGAACATTTTTTTTATATATCTCAATATATAATATTTATTAATAACAACAAATAATGATTATTTATATTTATATTAATATACCAATATATTATAACAAAGTTTCATACCAACCATCTGGACGAGCGGCGGTCTTTTATCGTGCGTTTTCAAGGCAATTTTTTCCACGCACAACTACTCTTTGGAATTGACTTCCAGCAGCAGTATTTCCGAACCAATACAACATCATAACCTTCAAGAAAAGAGCATATTCCTTTTTAAAAGGCCGGCAACATACCTGCAATGCTGTTGGTGTTGTGGGTGATCATGGGCGGCGGTAGTCACCTACCATCAGATGAGCCACATGCTCGTTTTTCCCCTGTGTTGTAAAAAAAAAAATTAAGAAATAACTGGTTTAAACTGTGTGTTAATTGTATTATGTTTATTCGATCTATTCTACACTTATTATTACTGTAGATCTTGCATTAAAACGTAGGGTACCATTCAACGTAATATCACGCGGACAAAGTCACGAGAAGCAACTAGCATTTATTATAAATGTGAAAGTTTGTAAAGATGTTTGTTTTTCAATCACGCTCGAATGGCTCAATAGATTTGAATGAAAATTGGATGCACATATTCTATAGCACTTTATATCCGAATTACTCTCTTGAATAATGTATCTAATGGTATAATATTTTTTTATGATTAATAGAGAAAACTATACAAAGTCTGTTTCTGAGTAATCTTTTAATATAATTGATGAAAACATTATTGATGTCTCTTCAGTTAAAATTTTTCTTTAAATAAGACTTTTTGTATAAGATTCTTTTCAAACGATATCCGTTATTAAGTATTCCTACTTTTTGTTGAACTTTCTACGATTGATCGGGTAGTGTTATTTTATCTTTGTAAGATACCAGATCTGTTAGACGCCGCGGCGGGGCGCTGTCAACAATTTATCGTAGGCGATTTTATCATTTACCAGACCAGAAACCCAAAAGAGGAGAAATACGCTCATATCCTTTTTGCATATGCAACTGCGTATTTATGTTCTGTTTATTATGATGCAGATAAGGTGATTTAACATTCGCTGATAAGCTTACATACCTACTTCAGAGTACATTCTCCTATGTACACAATATATAACAAACTATTATAATTATCAGGATTATTGTACGGTTGTAATACATCGTTGTACTATCAAAATGTGAATATTTTCCTGTGTTCTCTTTAATTTACAATTTTGGATCCATTAACTTTTAGACCTTGGTACAATAATGCAAGATCATCAAATACTTTATTTCTAATCTCTTATAAAACATAAATCATCGGCCCTTCAATAGATACTTAAGGTATTAGATTTACCTAGTACGTGGGTAGGTTTTGTTCATAGTTGTGGGTGTATAACCTAATTCGTGCTTCTGTTAAAATTTAATCATAAATGAGATTGCAAATCAAGTTAATAAAAAATAAAATATATAATTATTATATATAATTCAGTAAAATCATTAATTATCTAAAAGAAATCATAAATGTACTTGTAAATAACATTTGTACTTAATTATAATAGGTCTGTACCTACTGACCAAATTTTTGTACCTACGTTTTGGTTATATTTTAATCGATAAAACACCACTTAGTTATAAATAAAACAAATATAAAGAGTGTATTTTATGTTTATATTTTAAGAAGACTGATGTTGTTACGTTTGTTTACAGGTGGTCGGAGTGTCGGTATGAGGGGAGAGGCACTGCGGCTGGCGCGGATAGCGCTGGTCCTACTGCAGTCCTCATTTGTTCTTAGTACGTATTTGTTATACGTTAAATACCATTTGTACACATAAACTAAAATATATTTTCATCATCATCATCTCAGCCATTAGCTCTTCACTTTTGAACATAGGCCTCCTCCATAGACTGCCATAAGGAAAAGTCCTGAGCCGCCTGCATATTATTATATTTTGTATTGTTCTAATAAATGATTAATGCGAAGGTTTGTAAAGAAATTCAGTAAAATTGAATTTAATTGAAAGATGAACACTTTAGATAATTTTTATTCTAATTTTGACGTAGAAAAAAAAAACATTATTAGGGATCATCTCTAAGATATGGATATTTTTGACATAACTAGCTCTAATGTAAAGCAAGTAAAACAAAACGAAATACAAACGATATTAATTAAAACTTACTATGATAAATACATTTTTCAAATGAAATATTCTATGGAAGAGGATACTCCTAGCATTAATTAAGTCTGCCTTGTACGAGTACTTTCATATTTGTGTAGAGTACTAAGTAGTACAGAAAATAACAAAAACATAAATTCTAATGTTGTTAAAAAAATTCGTTTAAAAAAATATGGTTTTAAAAGAGTAAACATTTTATCGGGTTATTTTATTTTTCAGGTCGGATCGCTTTCGAAAAATTGACAGATGTGGATTTCTCTGGCACTGCGTACTACACTGTGCGGAACTTGTCACTCTATGAGTGTCAGGGATGGTGTCGTGAGGAACCAGACTGCCAGGCAGCCTCATTCAGGTATCATCTTCTAAATACTTTTGGTTAATTATTGCCCACAAGCCGTACAACAATGTAATATACTCTTATATAATACTTACTTATTTTACGAAATTAATTTCCTTCTAAGTTTTTTAAAACGTTTAACTTTATTTTTCCAGAATAATACATTTTGTGGAATGTTTAGAGTTAAGTTTGGGTGGGTTATGATACCTTAGAATCGACTTCAGTATCTCAATTTGGGTAATTATCATAAATATACCTACACCTACTATATTTAATAACGTTTATCAATACATAAGCAAAGGTCTTTGCGTTCACCGCAAAAACAACACCAATTTCTGTATCTACTCAATTTAAGAGCACTGCTTTTGATACTAGTCTTTACTATGTTTATTTATTTACTGACTGTATTTTTCCTTGATTTATACATTTTTTATTTTTCATTATTCATATTTAACTGTCATATCTTAAAAACATTAAACAAAAATTTTAATGTAGGTAGTTTATTAATTTATTTTGAAATTTATTATTATAGTGTAGTATTATATTTATGTATTTATGTAATATTACAATATATATTCATATTTTATTTAACAGTTTATTTGTAGCTTATATATTATATTAGTATTTATGTTGTTTGTACATTCTGTGTACTTTAGCTGCCTGCTAACTACACGTTTTCTTACTGTATTGAGTTGACTGGAAAAGATCTCTTCCAGAGATAAGCCCACCCTATGTGATTTACGCAAAGTGTATTATATATATACCGAACAAAGCCAAAATAACATCATAAAAGTTAAGTGTGTGGCTTACAAATAAAGCTTAAATCCGGGCACACGTAGAATACTGTTCTTATCTTTGACCTGCAGTACCATAATATCAGCGTTTTCCATTCTACCGCATACAACGCCGATCATCACTGGCATTGCGTAGAGACGTTGCGTTTCTTTGTTTTTTTTTTTATCGTATATATCATAGGGAATGTTCAAAGGAATTATTCAGGTTAATACCAGTTGCTGAATTTTAGCACTGAACAATTCGCAAAAATTGTTAGCAACGCAGTAATTTTCTACACAGAGCCATTTGATTTAGAGAATCGTATAAAAAAATATCGATTATTTCAATATATTTTCTCTATGAATTGTATTTAGTGGATTAAACGACCTACTGAATTAAATTTCACATTATATATCGAATACCTACTCATACCAGTTAAAGACTGATTCGTCATTCTCTGATTGATCACGAACAAAATAAAAATCAACGTGTCGTATCCAACTCAGATCACGATGCTCCTGACCTAGATGATGTAGATAAGAAATCGAATTGACGTGGAGACTCACTAATTCAGGGGGCAGAAGGGGCAATTAGAGTGATCGAATATAGGCTTATAATAATGTTTGAGGTGTCATATACTGTTCATTGATTGTTAAATGATCATAGAATAAGTTTTTATAATAGATTAGAATAGATTGTTTATTTGTATCAATTTGCAGATTCTTATATTTGCCTAGACACTATTCGTTGCAACTATCTGAAATATTTTCTAGTTACAATAAAATAAAGCAAAAATATACGTATAATAAGAAAATGATATTAGTCCAAGTTTTTGAATTAGTTGTTCCCGTTGTATGTGAAGGTTACTTAAAGTCTTATATCAATAAAATATAGTACATTACTGCAGCGGCTAGCAACTGAGGCATTGATGGACGAACGTGCAAATGTGGGCCGAGGCGTGGCCGAGGCACACATACGTGAATCCATCAATGCCTAGTTGTGGCCAAGGCTTGTATAGTACTTTTCTCAAGCAATGCGCGGAAATCAAAAACATAATTTTACTTTTTAAGTTCAATGACGAATAACGAGCAATAATAATTTTTCACGCGCCATAATGTTCCTTTGTTTTTTTTTCAATAAACGGCTTTCTATTTGCAAGCCAGTTCGAAATTTAAATAATACCTTGTATTAATTACCTTCTTGGTAGCCATGTTTCGAAGTAAAAGGTCATTCCATTTTTAAATTACAGGACAGATATGAGTTTACATAGTAATTTATCTGGCCGCAAAACACGACTGATATGGATTTTCATACAACTTTTGCCGGCCGCTGTCCGCATGTATCTGGCCAGTACGGCAATTTTGATCTATCTCGAAGAAGTTTGACAAAATAATGCTCACATTTCCAAGCATGTTTGAGAAAAATAAATTTTAAATTAATATGTTAATAACTTGATTTTCAAATAAGAATATTTAGGATATAAAAATACCAATTCTTATGTTTCTTAGCTAGGAGTAAAACTATATTTTTTTTTCCATTTCTGTTAATTATAGTCAAGAATATCCACGATAAGGAGGTCAAGTAATCAGTACATTTATTCAAACATACTGATTGCTTGACCGACAGCGCCGAAAACAGTTCCTACTTATGATATTGTGTAAAGCGGTCCGGAGGGAGTAGTCTGGTTCATTTGTGTTAAGGTCGGCTGGATTTGTGTCAGTCTGCCATACGTCCTCCACAGTTCTGGCATTCCAATGACACGCTCTTGGTTAATAACAATGTGTCTCGAACTGCTGGCCACAAACCGTGTAAAAGCGGAAACCGACCTCGCCGCGCTCCAAATTGGATAACAGTAAAAGTGATCGCATACGTCTTTCAATAGATTATTGCTGGACGGACCATTTTCAAGCACGCCAATAGTTTTCATGACTATTGGCGGTTTCAAATGTATCTATTATTTAATTTATTGTTATTGTCCTTCCATACTAGTCTAACGTCGTGAGACGTGCTTGCGCCAGATAATAGGTAGTATTTGGAGCTTCGTATAGCAAGCATTTGGAAAGTAAGCACTATGAATCTACCAAGACGTATTAATTTGTTTTTTTAAAACGAGCAATGACACAAATCCTTTTTATTTTGTTAAGTTGGAAAATTAAATAGGAATTCATTTTCTAAAAGCGATTTTTCTAATGTTTTTAAGATTGTTAGAGCTTTAAAGGTTAAATTCCCTTAGTCGCCTCTTACGACACCCACGAGAAAGGAAGAGATGGCCCATTCTATGCCGGGACCACACGGCTATTATGATATTAATATACAGAAAAGTATTTTAAATGTGATATCCAGTAAATAGATTTTTGTTTTCTTTACTCTCAACGAAATATGGGCTTTTTGTTGAACATGTTTAAAATCAACGTGGCAGTAGTGAACTTACTATCGTCTTCGGGGTTCAAATGATTTGTTAATGATGTTTTCCATCACCGACGTATGCGACTATCAGAAAATATGACTCACCTGTTTTTCCTATTGTGTAGGCACATTATCACAGTTGTTGCCGTGTAATGCAAAAAATCTAATTGCATTAAACTGAAGTGAGGCGTGTAACAGTATTATATGGCTAGTTAGATTCCTCGAAATCAATTTGAACGGGATCGGTCGAAAATCAATTCGGTATTCAATTAAAAGAGACGGAACTTTCCCGCGCTTCTAATCTAGCATTGTACTAATACGAGTACGTATCTCAGATCGATCTGTCCAAAGAAATATCGATCTGACTAGATGGACACGGTAATAACAATTGCTAACTGTGCTCAACATTGGTGCCACCGAATGTTCGCTGTTTGAAACGTGAAATATCGCAAGAATACCGTTCCGACATAGTAAAAGTCAATAAAATCACGCACGGAATGTCTCGAATGCCCATCAGAATTGTGCACGTTGTTATCTGAAGATGAACCGTCTGAAATACGATAACTCAAAAAATGACGTGCCCCATAACCAGACAATGTTTCAAATTGTTTTATGCTCAACTGTTATTTTGTTTTGCATTAGTAGATTAGATTGTTCATGATTATTCTTTTGTGAACTTCCGACATCTTATTTATTTACTCATTAACTCTTTATTGCACCAATAAAGAGTTTCTATTTATCTATTTTCTATCGTTTATTGTACATATAAAAAATATTGTCGTAAAGGATGTACTATACTGACCAGATCATAAAGTTGTTCTCACCTTCGGGTGTTGCTAGTGTCATAAAATTATTATGCAATTTATTATGTACTAAATGTTCCTATTAGTATTGTAAATGTAATATGTAAATTGTGAACATATACATATTTTATAAATGTATATGTATGTATATGATATACAAGAGATTAGCAAACACGATAGTATTGTTAATGAGTTCATGAAAATGAAATAGAATTATATCGATAGATGAGGAAGAACTCAGTTGGTACCTACGTTGTGATGAATCCATTAAAAATTAATCGCGATTGTTTTTTGGGGGAAGCGATATTGTTATGTAATGGTGACACACAATTGCATATATGCAATTGTGTGTCACCATTTATGTTTAACTCTATATTGTATAAATTTACTCATGTCTATAATCACTAAAGAAGTAGTCAGAGGCATTTGTCGACGGTTACCTTTTTGATGAAAGAAACGCTTGATATGCCCATATTTCGTCGAACATATTAGGTTACAAAGTGCTTTCCAATTCTGAAATACTATACGAATGTACATTAACATTTTAATAGGATTAAACAAGAATAACAAAATAAATATATATAAATAGATTACATATAAAATTCAAATACGCATAAATGAAAAAAGATAAATGCTTACAAATGTAATTGAAAAGCTACCGTTGCTTAGAAATACCACATTACTCATCGGACTGCAATCGGTCATTAATATTACGATCAAAATATGTAAAATTATTTAGAGAGTCCGATGAAACGCGGAGGTTGATTTACGAGCCACTTCGTAGTTTTCACAGCTTTGCAGTTCAGAGTGGGATTAAGGCCGCCCGAGAGCTTGCAAGTTCGATTTTCTTTTAAATTTAATGGCGTTATATTATTTTTTAATTATTACTTTATAATTAGCATTAATAGTAAACGCATAAATTATTATAATTATAAATAAGTACGTACTTAGTATTAGTTGATATATTTATTTTTAATAGTTCAATATATTAGTGCTCTTATTAATTTTAATTGTAAATAGAATACATGCTTA